GGAATTGGAACAGTCATATCCCACATTTTCCCCAATGGTTCAGAGAAAGCTGCGGCGCATGCAGCCAAATCACTCACCCCAGCGGAACGCTTTGTGGATACGCTCAAAAGAGCCTTGCTACACATGAAAGGGGAAGGTACCTTGGAGAAGATTCTTAACACGTTTCTTCTGACGTATCGCACAACTCCAAATCCGCAGACATCGAACGCACTATCTTCGGTTGAAACTTTTTTTCAAAGGAAAATACGTGTGTCACATGATGCCATCAGACCCAGGAAGGATCAGTTACTGTCCCACAACTATCAGATGGAGCGTCAATTCAACATCCGACACGGTGCTCGGAAGCGAGCCTTTAATATTGGCCAATAAGTTCTGGCGAGAGATTATCGCGTCCACTATCCTAAGTGGGCTATGGGATGTGTGCTATACCAACGTGGTAACGTGATCGACGGCAATTTGGCTAAGACATGCCAATCAGCTGCTGGAGGCAGGGACTGTCGAAAAACTGCAACAACAAGTACCAGCAGCGCAGCTGTCTCTGGACATTCTGGCCGACGCGTGGGAAGTGAAGACTCCCCAACACAGAAACCACAACTTTCGCCTCGAAACCAAGCAGCACAGAGGCCGAAGCGGCGACGCAAATTCGTGTCACGCATGCAAGTCAACCCCCAGCTGAAAGCGTACAACACAACTCAAAGAGGGAAAGTGTTAGGAAGGAATACACGATGCGAACAAGGTTGTAATGGTCTACTTTAAAGGTTCTGACATCAGAGCAGGAGAGCAACACGGATTACGTCAGCATCGGTCATGTACTACCAACGTACTGCTTGGCCGTGGCAGTTGGACCGAAATAGCCGACAGTGGGACCGGCATTGATCTCATCTACCTAGCATTTTCCAAAGCATTCTACCGCATAGAGCACCGCATTCTTTTCCAAAAGCTGCAAGCATACGGAATTGGAAACCCTTTCTTTGGATGGATCGGAAACCCCCTCTTTCAGCGGCGCCTTCAGTTTCGAGTTCGAGTTCCATTTTCTGATGCAGTTGGTGTGGACTCTGGTGTTCTACAAGGGTCGGTGTTGTTATTCATTAACGACCTTGCGAGTGCCATCAAGTCAAATTTCCCGCTTTTTGCTGATGACACCAAAATACAGAGGGCAATCGACTGCCATGAAGATCACGATATGTAGCAACTAGACTTAGACTGCGCTTTGGATGGTCAAAGGTAAATCTACTTCCACGTAACACGGACAAGTGCGAAACCGTGCATGTCCGCCACAAGCCCACTTACGCATTTAGGTTTGGTGACGATATGCTGAACACGGCCTCACAAGAGCGAGAGCTTTGGGTGGTAATCCAAGACGACCTCGGCTGTTCGGCGCAGTCCTTAAAGGCGTCCAAAACTGCGAACCAACATGTTGGTTTGTTACGGAGGGCGTTCGGGCTGTTCGATCCCTCCACCTTCCCGAAATGCTCAATGCGTATGTGAGGCCCCATGTAAGGTCCGCGACCCAGGCTTGACAACCCTGGTTAAAACGCGATCTGGTTACACTGGAGACGGCACAGCGACGGGTAACGAAAAATGTGAAGGGTTTGTCCCACCTGCAATACCATAGGCGACTGAAAGCCCTGGGAGTGTACAGCGGAAGATATTGCCGTCTACAAGGTGACCTCATCCGGGAGTTGCATATTTTGAAAAACCCCGGTCACGCTTGCCGCCACCTCCAGAATTGAGAGATCATATGTTGAAACTTGCCACCAATACAGTCGGCTGGAGTGCCACCGGAATTACTTTCCCCTTCGAGTTTGTCAACCGTGGAACGCTATTTCGACTTTTATCATTTCCGCGCCCATGCTACCGATTTAAAAAAACGAATCGATGGTGCTTTACACCACCTAGATAACTTGATCTGATTTTTATTCATTGAGTGACGACAAGACGCAGACAAACATTGTACTCACCAACCCCATGAAATCGGGTTAGACGGATATACCTGTGTTAACGTGGATAATATGGTGAGTCCACAGATGTGTTTTCACTTCTGTGTAACTTACTTGAATTAACGTTATTCCCGTAAAACATCTCACGGGACTTGTCAAGCCTTGGCTTTTTATCCGTGTTATACCATTGTTCCGTTATTCCATTGTATCGTCGATTACGCGGCGACGTGCTAATGACATACCTGATACTAAACAACCCAAATCATGTGTACGGAGAGAAGGACTAGTGTGTTAAACACGATAAGTCCATCACGTTTACAGTACAATTACCAACTGCCAGGTTGAAGTACCTGCCTGACCAACTCTCTCGGTCATCTGGGTAGCCGCCCACAAACGTAGACATGACGGAGCAACATATGGATCACCGAGGCTGCATAGACTAGGCGCACTGACACAGATCAGTAAGCTGTACGGCATACAAACGGAGGCCTATGCTACAAGCAAGAAGCTCGGTATGCAATAGCACCATGACTGATAACTAATTTGTCTATAAACGACGTATCGGAGACCTCAACTTGTAGGCTCTAATCTAAGCATCGGATACCCCGAAATTATCACGGCGTTCGGAGTGGCGCAGACTGCTGAAGAAGCAGGCAATGCTCATAGAATTAATTTCGCCCCGACCCATCATCGGCACCATTCGTCCGGAGACCGATTAAGTCTTCAAGTCACGTGCAATCAATGGTACATATATCTACAGAAGCAGCGTTAGACGGACAGAGATATGATGAAAAGAGATGTTGAAAGTGTCCAGCTGCATTCTGACTACAGTACGGAAATTGCTTGATGCAGTTAGCAGGCACTTCCTGCAACGTCATGGTGGTGATGGCGTGGCATTCATTCACAATATTATGCTGCAATTGCTCGAGGGAAATCGGCTTGTTTCTGTAAACCCTTTGTTTCAAATATCCCCACAGAAAATAATCCTGCGGCTTTAAATCTGGTGACCGTGCGGGTCCCTCGATGGGGCCTCCATGACCGATGCAACCTTGGCAGAATTTCCCGCAGAGATATTCTGACACCGATTGGGCATAATGTGCTGATGCACCATCTTGCTGCAACCATATGGTACTGCGAAATCCGTCTGCCTCCAACTGTAGCAGTACGCAAGTCTGGAGCGATTTCTTGTACGACTATGTTAGCAAAAGTAAGGGTTGGGTAATATAAAACAACTTACTGGTCACGTTCTTGGAAAAAAGGATGGTCTAACGATTTTCTGATCAGTCATTCCAGCCCAGACCATCAGCTTGGCGCTATGCTGAATACGTGACGCTGTGTATCTGCGTGGAGTTGAACTAGCCCGGAAATGTTGTTTATCCGTTCCATGGAAATGGAAAACGGACTCATCCGTAAACATTACGGAGTGAATGCACATGTGATTTAAAAACCAACGGCAAAATGCCTCTCCTAGTTTTAAATGCTATAGATATATCGTCTAGTGAGAGGACGTCATCACCTTGCAGATTAACCACTGTCAGTGACAGTGGTAGATAGGTGGTGCTATATCCCAGCTAGTTTGCAAATTATGTAGCCTAGCCAACGTCCCCCATGGCTCAGTGGCTTAAGCTGCTGGCTAGTTGGCACCTGCCTCTAGCGGTCATGGGTTCGATCCTCCTTCGAGGATCGAGGGCGCGTGGTGTCACAGTGCTGGGCGATTCTATGTATGCTGAGATCTAACCTCTCTGGTACTTCACCTACAACGGTACAAGCTGCAAAATCAGCAGTACTAGTGCGAGGCCGCTCGGGTTTTCTGGCTTCGCACACACTCCCAGGTTTGTGGAACTTCTTCACCAATTGAAGCACGTAACGGCAGCTGAGGGGTTGCTTTCCAGCATTTAGAGTGTTATATCTTCGAGCTGTTTTGGCAGCGTTTAAGTCACATTGGCCATACAGCCGAATAATTTGCACGCGCTGAGTCTCAGGCACTCTACGGCATTCCGGTTGCCGGAACATCACCGACGGGAATGTAAACTCGTGTTCCATTGCTGAGACAGCGACCAACTGATAAATGACAAGAATGTCACCACTTATCTTGGCCCGCGAAACATTCTGTCTTCAAAAACTGACCAGAATGTACCGAGCGCTCATTTATCCAGTCTGCTCCTTATCGCGTGTAGTGCCGTGCAGTTTGGGGTACGCAGACTCGGCGATTGTGTGTGTAGTGCATCGTGTGAGATCTGATTAGATCTCCGGACTACCATTGGAATTCCTCGGGGATTTCTCAGGGCGCGCAATGTGCTGCAATGAAAATCGGTAGACACATCCCGGACACACCATATGTAGAGGGTAGTGGTTGGATTCAGAGCTATGGCTTTCCGTTAGGCGGCTGTGCACGACACAGCACTTAGAAGCTATACGATGGATATTTGACTACGAATGAGTAGTGGAGATGTGGTTTGTCGTAGTCCACTCTCCGTCCGGTAGGCCCTCACACCTCTGGGAGACTGAGTGCCGTAATGAAAACAGGCAGCACAGAAAAGAGCCGTTGCCTATGGCAAGTTAGGGTAATTTAAAATGTGTCGCGCCTCCGGCAGAATTTACGCAATTAAACCACCCTATTCATGAAGCGGATGACTGTGGGATTTTCGACTTCTTCGCCACAAGACAATAAATGGTCAAATAGATATACATAAACATGTTGACTTATGAGAGTACACTAGGTGTAACTTTTGATAAAAGAGTTGCTTTCTGTGATGTTACAAGTAGATGTAGCGAGGCGCTCAGTAGCCTGAAAAATAACAATGAGTCCAGTATGGACAAGCTTCACGTACCCATATTAGCGCATTTTCAGTACGTTGTACCACTACTTGCGGATATGCTAAAGGATGACATGCTGAATCATGTTGTATCTGGTCCTTTTATTTCGAGTCAGTTATGTATCTAATGAGCAGTAATGAATACATTTAGTTTTCATGCAAATGGCACTGACAAAGTGTGATTGAACTTTATTGTAACTGTCTACCGGTTGATTAATACGACATGTTTCGTCTTCATTGACAGTGTATCGACGCCTAAGAAATCAACCGACCGGAAGCTTCATCGTCTGCAGGAATAACGATGAACCGGATTCCTACAAGTTGTATTTCAAACACCGTGAGTCGTCATATTTCAATGAGCAATTCAATCTTTCCCAAAACCAGTTGGCGCAAATACAAATAGACGGTTATTTTTGATCTGCATCCCCTCAAACAGCCACTGCGAATTCAGTAAAAGAACTGGAAACTCGCTTCGTCACCTGGTCTCGTCGTCAACGCGCGTCCCGTCTACCTGGTGATGGGCACTCATCCTATGTATAGCCAGAGACTGGTTTTCCCTATACCGCCACTAATCGTCACAGCCAGTCTATAATACTATCAAATGATTGGTAGCTCATAGAGTGAAGTCGTCCTATTGAAGTCCAGTCTTATTTTTTGCACTTTGGAAACACTTGCGGCCGAAGAAGCTGAGTCAGGCCACATCAAAACCAACTCGAGTTCACATGGATCTGGAACGGCAGTAAATTCTCGTGGATGCTCCCACTGGAGTAGGACGTTGAGTCAGGGTATTATACAGTAGCGGCTACGCGCAAGTTCCTGTGACCCAGAAGTCCAAACACCAACTCGAAGGTGGAGCGTAGCTAATTGTGATTCTCCAATGGAGAAACGGAATCCGTACTACTGCCAAGTCCAGCGAAAATGAAACATCGCTCAATGAGTTTCTGAATGAGTATGGGCTGTCTAGTTGACTGTAGCGGTAATAAGTTTGCTTCGAAATGAATTCATCTTCTCTTACTCCACTCACGAAAACATATGATCATGCGGTAAGTTATCCTCGTCCAGTCTCGGAATGGTCTTCGTGGGAGTGCCTCAGCCAATATTACTTTCGTGTGGCTAACAACGATCGGACGTTTATCTTGAGCTTGTAAAATTGCATGCTGCCGATGTCGGATCTCTATACGACCAGGCAGAGATTTGGTTAATAGTATACTGTGGTAAAGGTGATCGGCGGACTCAGAGAGAAGGCAGCCTATTCACATTTATTAGGGTCGAACTCAAAATCGACCAAAATCTACGATGCTACTCATCCATTGAACAATGAATTTATACGGGTTAAGAAGCGTTGCTTTACAAGTCCCGCTGGATAGTTGATGGGGTTATCGAACTAACAATATTGATAGTAAAACAGTTAGTACTTTAAATACGAAAATAAGGACTGCTTGTTTGCTCCGCCGTTGTCCTGTAATCCGCTTAGATTCACAGCCCCGGAAGTTGACATCGAATAAATCCATGGTAAACTCCTGGTGTAGGATGGAGACGTAGTGCTAAGTGACAAGGTGTAAGTGGATGAGTGCGTCATCCAACCGTCTTTTAAATAGTGTTAGTGTTGGTGCAGCAACGACCGATTCTGGGAGAGTATTCTACGGGTGACAGACAAGAATGGAAAAGAAATTTCTGCGGCACTCTAGACGGCTACACTGTACAGCGAGTTTCAATGAGTGGGCCCTCAGGGTTATATTGGTGCTGAGTCACAGTAAAGGACGGCGCACATGATGTGGGTCTCGCAGAATCAAGTATGCCATTATCAGGTCGCCTGATAGTCTGCGATAGCTTCCGCTGAATACCCCCAATCGTTGCAGCTTCTCCTGGTATGATAGGTTGCGCATTCCAAATACGTTTTTAGATGCCCGGCGTGGCCGCTCCAGTGCATTAAAGTCATGTTTCAGCCATGGATGCCAGGCTTGAATTGCGTATTCTACAGGGGGGGGGCGAACATATGCAGTGCGCATTTGTCGAAAAATGGAGCTGTTTATTTGTCCAAACGCCCGTCGCAACAGCCCGACGTGTTGGTTTCCAGTCTTCAAGATCTTTTCGGATTGCCTGGAGCAACCCAAGTCATCTAGAACCAGGACAATCAAGTCACCTTCGATAGTTGATTGTTGCAGTATACTCGTTCCTAGCCGATATGTGTAGTTGCTCTGATGTCGGATGGAAAGGACTTTGCATTTATTAACGTCAAAATGCAGTAAGTTTTGGGTTGACCATTGTTATACGGTATCTAGGTCACGCTGAAGCAGATGTTGGTCGGCGTTCGCTGGGTCATGCACAAAT